GGAAGGAGGAAGGAGGAAGTTAAGAAGCCCGACGTGAAGTCCATCGAGATCTGAGCTCTGATGCATGCCGGAGAAACCCATAGCTGAGCTTGCGACCTATCCAAATAAGTCTCTGTGGCAGTCGAGTGAGTGTGTCCGTCCTATGTCTAAGTGTGCTATTTGGTTCGTGTCTTTCTGTGTCCAAGTAGTCGGTCGACTTTGGGAACTCTGCATTGCTCTCGCGGTAATAACGTTTGTCATGGAAGTATTTCTTAATTAAATACGAGTCGGTCTAGTTCATCCGTTTCATATGTTTCAACTTCGGGAACTCTGCCTTGCTCTCGCAGTGATGACGTTAGTAATGGAAGTATTCCTTAAATATTAGTCGTTTCATATGTTTCGACATGAAGAGAAGTAGTAACCAAAATGAACAGATAAGAATGACCAACTGGCTAACAAAAACAACATCATCATCATCATTCTGCATACTTATCTTCTTCCATTGTGCGTAAGACGTGACGCACCGCACAATCCACGAGAACGTGACCCCGCAAGCTTATCTTCTTCCATTGTGGGTAAGACGAGACGCACCGCCCGTTTTCCTCTGTCCGTTTATCATATATTCAAAGGGCCGTTGCGACGTGCGAGACCCTCTCTCTTGACCCTCTGTTTCCGCGATCATCGGCGAAACTTCGCAACCCTCTCTTGACCCTCTCTTTCCGTATTCAAAGGGCCGTTGCGAAGTGCGGGACCCTCTCTCTTGACCCTCTCTTTCCGCGATCATCGGCGAAACTTCGCAACCCTCTCTTAACCCTCTCTTTCCGCGATCATCGGCGAATTTTTCTCGATCTACTGCTTGCTGCTTGTTAGATTATATAATCTTATTTAATTATTAGATCTACTGTTTATTGTTTGTTAGATTATGTAATTTTATTTAATTAAATAAGATGTATTATATATATAATTGAATTTTATATAATTGGATTATGATTATGATTATGATTATTGATTAATAGAAAAGAAGTTCAATTAAAATAGGATTTTTTAAGAAATAATTTTACAGATTATCTGGTTCTCTTTGCAAATCCTTACATATTGATATTTCAGATCCGATGACAGATCAGACGATGGAGCGTTTGTAGATCAGATAAAATTTATTCTTTTGAACAACAAGAAAGATATACATCGTAATATATATATTAGATCTAATAAGATTTAATTATAGTTTTGACATAAAAAAATTTTCGTATTACAGATAGCATGATTATAGATTTTATACTTACAATTGGTATTAGAGCCAAATTCTTAAGATCAAATATATTAGATCTATTATTTTTATTTATGTTTGAATGATTCGTCGGATATATTTGATCGATGAATTTACTGTTTATTATCATTGATGTTATTAAGACGATCATCCCTGTTGATCGTTGTCGAAGGGTCGAGTACCGTCGCGCATCACGGTCGTACGTAGGCAACAGTCCGCTTGCTAGCTGTGCCGGCACCACGGGAATCCCGCACCGCTTGTGAACGCGATGCCTGCGGAAGGGCAGTGGCCGCAGATGGTGGCAGCCGCTGCCCTCGTGGACAGAGGGCAACGGCAGTGGTCGCGCCGAGGCGGTGGTCAAGCGCGGGCAAGAACCGTCGCAGCGGCCGCTCATGGGCAGAGGCAGCCCCCGCGACGGCAACGGTCGCACGCTGGCAACAATCGCGGCCAGTCGTGCGCACCATCCACAGGCAGGAACGGCCGCGGGCGAGCAGCGGATGCGTCGCACGCGCAAGCGACGGCGACAAGGCAAATTAGGGTTTTTGGCATAATTATGATTTTGACCTCGAGGCTAGATTTTTACAAAATTATAATTCTGCCCTTTGCAAATTTAGTAATTTCAATTTATGTTCTGCCAACATATTTACAGTTTTACCTTCGGATTTAATTTCTATCAAATTATAGTTCTGCTCTTCATAAATCGTATATTTTTTATTTATATCCTATCAAATATTTATAGTTTTATCATTATGAAATTGAGAAATTTGGTTTATATTCTCAATTATAAAATTGATAAATATGATTTATTATAATTATGATTAAATTTAATCATGATTATATTTTTGATTATTTGATTAGATTTAATTTTGATTAAAAAAATTATAAATTATGATTTACTTTATAGTTTTCTCATATGAATTATTGATTATACATGTGGTAAATAAAATCCAATTATTATTCTTGAATATTTATTTAATTATTCACACGTATACATTTGAAATTGTGAAATAATGTTCATCAAGGCAAGCATGATTTATATATTATCATGATTATCATATGAGTTTTCTTTTATTTATTAATGTTCAATAATTAGTATGGTTATTATTTTATTATTGAACTGCTTAGTATTAATGTTCAATAATTATTATGGTTATTATTCTATTATTGAACTATTTAGTATTAATGTTCAATAATTATTATGGTTATTATTCTATTATTGAACTACTTAGCATTAATATTCAATAATTATTATGGTTATTATTTTATTATTGAACTACTTAGCATTAATGTTCAATAATTATTATGGTTATTATTATTTTATTATTGAACTGCTTAGCATTAATGTTCAATAATTATTATGGTTGTTATTTTATTATTGAACTACTTTGCATAAATTAAAGAAATTTGATGAATATTATTTGTAATTCATCTTCATAAGTTTTATCTGACTTGTAGCTGCTAAAGTGGCCTAGGATGATAGATTTTTATAATATGAATTATAATAAAAGTTTTATCATTTATAGGACATTTTAGATTGTATTTTATATTTTTGTATTGGTTCTATAGTCACCAAAGTGACTTGGGTCAATAATTTATAAAATATATTATAAAATTAGTCCTAAATGATATTAAATAAAATAATATTCGTAATGGCAGCATGAATCAGGATAAAGAAATTTAGTGAATATTATTTATAATTTATCTTCCTAAGTTTTATCTGACCTGGGATGATAGGCTTATGAGATATGAATTACAAAAAAGTTCATGTCATTCATTAGATATTTTAGATTGTATTTTATCTTTTTGTATTGGTCTTGTAGCCACCAAAGTGACCTGGACCAATAATCTATAAAATACATTATGGAATTCATCCTAAATGATATTAAATAAAATAATATTCACGATCGCACATATAATTAGGAGATTTAGATAATCCTAAAGGAGAATCTATTTCAAATAATTATGTAATTGGGTAGAATGATACTGTTTTGGATATTCTTACAATTTAGGGTTGTATACCCAAATGTAACAATATCATTCCACAATGATAGTATCTGATAGGGGTAAGAACAGATTTGACGTAACACACTGGATTTGACGTAATACACCACGACGTCAGCCACCCCTGGACGGCACACTGCCCTAGGGGGCGAGCCTTAACACCAACATAATGTGCTCCCTCACTCACCGTACCCAAACGACCTCATCATCTGACCTCGCCCGACCGGCCGAGGCAAGGGAAGGCGTCGACTGAGGCTCACCATACCCTGCGGCAGCTCGACCTTCCACGCAACGCCCACGACGACGACAGGCGCCAGGAGGTACGGCCCTGCCCCGGTAGGGTGGCACATCAGGTAATATCGAACTCGCCTATAAATACTCCCGGGCTCCAAACGAACAGAGGAGGAAGAGAGACAACACAAAAACACCCTCAAACCCCCTTACAACCTTCTACTGACTTGATCGTCGGAGGGGTCGGGCCGAACCGCCGACCCGACCTGTGTGCAGGCAGTCGACTGAAGTCGATCCAACCCGGCGTTGCAGAACTTTCCAGCCAGACCCCCGCATTCAGCCACCCTAAGATCCCGAGAAGAGTCATGCCTGATCCCAGCCATTCGGACCCCTGAACCAGCCGCGTTGATCCCGAGGTCACGGCTAAAAACGTTACTTACCATAACAGATTGGTTCTAGAAGGAGGGCCCGTCCGAATGTCAAGCGATCAGCGAATCCACCTTGGCGAGCCCTCAGCCGTCGGGCTCCCCACCCCGAAGGAACACCCCCCGCATGATGAAACCCGTGACGAACGCCCCGCAGCGGCGTCAGAACGTTACTGACGATTATTCAATGACCCAGGCTTGTCACCTCCCGACGACGCACCCGCCGGCCCATCGCCGGTGTCACCCGAGGCCTTTCACGACCTCGCTCATCAAGTCCGAGCCCTGACGAGCATGGTGCAGACTATCATCCTGATCGTCTCCCAGCGGACCGCTCCGCATACGACTCGGCCTTCGCAGCAACAGGAGACCCTCGTCCGGACTCACGTACCACTTCCCGAGCTCCCTGGCTCGCCTCGAAACCCGATAACTCGGCCCGGGAGCCGGGAGGCAGAAGACACGGCGAGCCGCCCCGAGCGCGAGGCTCCGTCTGCAGACTCTACAAATGCCCTACGAGCTCAGTTGCGCCTCGTCAGTCAAAGACTCGACGAAGTACAGTAGGAAGTTCGTAAGTCAAAAGGAGAGCTCGGGGTAGACGGACAGCAAGGATCCCCATTCACCCCCGAGCTCCAAAATCAGGCGATCCCGTCACACTTCCGCCTCCCTTCGCTGGATGCGTATGACGGCGCTACTAACCCAGCGGACCACGTGGCCGCTTTTCGCGCCCAGATGGCGCTATACGGGACTTCCAACGCCCTGATGTGCAGGACGTTCCCAACAACCTTACGAGGGCTAGCCCGCTCGTGGTACAGCAGCCTGAAGGCCGGGACCGTCGCCTCCTTCGACCAACTCGCCAAAGATTTCGAGCTCAACTTCTTAGCTTACGTTCGACCAAAGCCGTCCGTGGCATTGCTCCTCGGACTGAACCAAAGGGAGGACGAGCCCCTCTCCCATTTTGTGAACCGCTTTACGACGCAACTTCGCGGGCTATCGGAGGCTCACCCCTCTCTGTTGATGCAGGCATTCATGACAGGCCTGCGACCTTCCAGGTTCTTCTGGTCTCTCGTGGAGCGGCCTCCCGCCGCGATCCCCGAAATGCTTCAGCGTGCCAGCCAGTTCATCGCCGCGGAGACATGGATGGTTGGGAAGCGGGAAGAGCACAAAAAGGTCAAGTCGGAGCCGCCCCGACAGCAACAGATCCGACCCAAGGCCTCCCCTCCCCGCCTTGAATTCGTCCCGAACGGAAATATTTCTCCATGAGAAGGGGAAGGGGCTACTCAAGGACCCTCACTCGATGAGAAACCCGCGAGAGCTCGCGGACCGTTCAAAATATTTCCGCTTCCATCGGCAACATGGACACGACATGGAACAGTGCCGTGAGCTGAAAAGGC